CTGTCAGCACACCTGCATGTGAATTCCAGCTGGCAGCCCATTTTCAGCCACTGTCAATAGGACTTACAAAACTTAAAGAGAAGATATATTCAGTTTTTCTCTTCTATACATCTAGAGCCTTATTAAAATTATGAATTTAGTGGATCAGTGCAGTAATATTATTTGATAAATATTGAATAATTTGAATAATGTGGGTCTTTGTTTATTATAGCATTTTGGTATTTTTCCTCAATCAATAATGGGAAAACAATTATTCTTAATTAATATGTCCTATTTCTTGCTGTCTAACATGCTGTATATTAGCTAAGACTGGTAACTGGGTGCCCCCCTGTCCAGGATAAGGTGACCCCTAACAGGATAAACTGTTAAAATGCACAGATATCTTTAAGTGAAAAGAAGAGCCATAGCTGCTTTTAAAGTGCAGGTCTAACAGGTTCAGTGCAGATGATTAACTTGTTGATGCAGAAGTGTAGTGTTTACTTGGTTTTTTGGATTTTGTACCTGCGCTCTTTATACAAGACGAAAGCTGATGAGTTCCAGCATCATTGGAAAACCCAATTTGTGCCTCTCACAGGTGTGTCTTTGCCTCCGCGGTGCATTAGATCCATCTCTATAGGCTCGGCAGGGTCAGCTGACAGGAAGCTGGGGTCCCCTTTGATGCCCCCCCATGGCTGTATCTCTGTGTCACAGGTGCGGCATCCCAGAGGGTAAAGGTGGACAGGGAGGTGCAGGCCAATCCTGGTGAGACCTTCCAGTTGCGCTGCAAGTTTGAGGTGGTGCAAGGCATAAGCCTAACTCAGGTAAGTGTGTGTTAGTGCACGGCCTTGTGTTCACATGAGGTAAGTGTGTGTTAGTGCACGGCCTGGTGTCCACATGACACCTTCCTTATCAACACCAGCCGCCTTGTTTCCCAGGTTTCCTGGGTTAGGGAGTCTTCGGCAGGGAGAGAGAACATCGCCGTCTTTCATCCTTCACTTGGGTCGAATTACCCCGACTCATCCCTCAAAGGAAGAGTCAGCTTTGTTTCTCCTTCCTTGGAAAATCCCTCCATCAGTGTGTCTGATGCCAAGACGAGCGACTCGGGCACGTATACCTGCGAATATGCCACCTACCCCAGCGGGACCGATCAAGCCTCATCCGCAGTCTTTATCTTGGGTTAGTGGCTGCTTTTTGTTTTGCCTGGATTTCTAAGTATTCTTACAGTGTCGATGGCGTGATGGGTCACTGGGTGGCGCTGTTGCCCAGCACCTCCTGGGGTTCGAATCGTGACCCCGCTGTGTGTGTGTGTTCTTTGCATGTTCTCCCTCTCATGTGTGGGTTTCCTCCTGCAGTCCAGAGACACACAGTTAGGCTAATTGGTGTGTCTAAATCGCCCATGGAGTGTGTGAGTGGATGTTCCTGCTGATTGACAGGCACCCTGTCCAGTGTGCACCTGAGCCTCGTCCTCTGGTGCCTGGGGCCGACTCCGGGCCCCACCCCGTCCGTGAGCTGGATATGGGGCTGGGAGATGGATGCTGTTCTCCTCATTACACCTTCCCTGCTCATGCCCGCTCACAGCTGTGCATCTCTTCCTCTTTCCTGTCCACTACAAGCTCGCTGCAAAGTCCAGGTTTCATTTCTGTCTCTCTGCACTCCCTCTCAGCCAAGCCCCAGAACAACGCCACCACGCTGCCCGTGCTCGCGGGCAAAGACGCAGTGGTGGTGGCTCGCTGCGAGTCCGCCAAGGGCCAGCCAGCAGGACAGGTCTTCTGGGACACAACAGCTGCGGGCGACCAGAGCAACACGACCAAACTGGAGAACGACAAGACTGTGTCCGTGGTCAGCGAGTTCAGGCTCATCCCCAAGGCTGCGGATAATGGCAAAGACATCACCTGCATTATCAAGCACCGCGCCCAAAAGACAGACGACATCTATAAAATGAAGCTGGCTGTTCAGTGTAAGCTGTGATTAGCTGACTGGGGGACTCGTAGGTGACTTGGATTATAGGTACAGTCTGATGTTCTGATGATCATCTGATGATGCTCCCTCTTCTCTTGTCTTCTTCTTTTCTTTTTTCTCCTCTCTCTCTCTCTCT